TATTTGCATCTTTGTCATGTTTCAACTTTCACTCCACAAACCCAACAATTAATTGACAAAAAAATGGCAAATCCCAAGAAACAAGGGGGGAGCATGTTCAGCTAAATCTTAAGAAGTTGAAAATTAGGTAAACCCATATTTGTTCCCAATTTTTTGAAAATTCATTTTCAATTATACATTTTATGAGATCCACAATTTTCATCAATTTTCAAAATCTAATAAAAATCGGATTTTTAACTAAACTAGGATGAGCATTTTCTAAAGAAGTTGAGAAGAAAGTGCGCGAACAAAATTTATGTACTACCAGCATAATCTCGTCCAATCGAGTGTAAAAGACATGGCCTCTAAAGTTTTGCAATTATTAGCATGATTGGCAAATTGATGCATTCATGGACCATTATGTTTTGTTTTATTGCAGGGTATAGTGGTGACCGGTGTAACCTACTGGTTACAACTTTGGGCCGTGGAGAAAAAAGGACCTCTTTTTACTGCTGCATTCACTCCATTGGCACTGATTATAACTGCTATCATCTCAATGTTCATGTGGAAGGAAATACTCCATTTGGGAAGGTCCGTACTCTTTTTTTTTTTTTAATAATCGTTTTGAACAATTTACAGTCGTAACATGTCATGCTCGACCCTAGACTCCATTCGGACATTTTTTCGTCTCACTTTGTACACATTGTTGAGACAACAAAATTCACCAGGGGCCTTTTTTCGATTTTTGTGCAGTATTTGTGGGTGCATGTTGCTGGCAGCGGGGCTGTACTGCGTCCTGTGGGGGAAAAATAAAGAGATCGAAGAAGAGGCAACCAAAGGGCAATCAGACTCCAAAGAAGAAATAATTGTGTAGTGATTGATGGGATGAGTTTGCTGTAAATTATAATTTTTGATGTATTTTGTATATTACTGACACTGCATTATAAAATAATTACTATTGTGCATTGTAAAGGTTATAAATACATTGGGTTAATTCTATTCGCGGAAACTATACTCTACTTTTGTATCAATCGTGTGATTGTACTTCAATTTTATTTTATAGGGTATCTATATTATAAAATGATTTCAATCAAATAAATATACTTTTATTTGATAGTAATTCGGTAACTGCACTTTAATTTAATTTCAATTAAAATAATTTTGTCAAATTCAATTGACAGAAATTGATGATGCAGCGATTAATATTTCTTTTGTAACCATTAGATCCTAATGTAAAATATGTACAATTTCAGTGAAATAAAAGACGAGCTTCATTTATTGACTACCAATCCAACGATTTTCGTAATTTAGATGACGGAAATGGATGGATTTAACATATTAAAATCAATTTAAAATGTGCCCGATTAAACAAAATTGATGTTGATTGACACTAGAGTACACGAATGTAGTTTACCCTAAATATTTGTTAAGAAACTTCGGAGTTAAACTTATGAATCTGGTTCGGTCTGATTGTGAATGAACAAAAAATAAAAACTGGTTTTACGCATACTATTTACCTTATCTGTAAACTTCAAACCCTAAATCAACTAAATTTATTGAGAACTTGTTTGAACCCCATTTTTTTTGCTGTAAAATGCATTTTCGAATAATAGATTGATGGAGAATATATGGTTAAAAAATAAGATTTTTTTTGAATTTGTGTATAATACTATTTTATTGAAAAAATGTGTAGATGAAAATAAGAGGGTAAAAATGTATTTTTTTTTTAAAAAAATGAAGATCAAACATGGACCGAGTCTAATTTGATAATAAACACAGTAATTAGAAGATTTATTTATTTATTTTTATTGTCATTTTCATTAATGCATTTTTGAAGGGAACAAGATTGTATAAAATATATTTTCTTTGCTCAAGATTAATGTGTAAAATGACATGCTTATAGGTGAAAATGAGGTTAGGTAGATGATTCTTGTTCGATTTTTGAGTAGTCCGACACCAACAATTTATTAAAATTATCTAACATCAGTTTTGAAAATTAATTCGTCTATACTTCGATGATTATAATTTAATGTGGATTGAATTGTTAAAATGTATAATGATGATAATTACATAGTTCAAAAAAATCATCGAAGATTTAAATACATATCACAAAATAAAAATTAAAGGTTATGAACATGATTCTATAGTCGGTCCATGATATCTGGATGCCAAAACTGTCCCAATGGCCAATTGGTAGGAAAAAACACACACAACAACCCATTATTCCGCACTAAATCTCAACGATTTCCTCTATCCGCTAAATGGAAAGTCTGCTTTAAAATCGTCAATCCAAAAAATGTAAATAAAATAAAATTTTGGATTGTACAACTTATATGTGAAGGAGTATACTAATCTATAATATATTAAATATCACATCAAATTAGAATCATTTTTTGGACGATTTTAACCTACTATAATTCAATTATTTTAATACCACCTTATTTTTCATTTTTTAATATGTAATAATACTACAAAATCCTTGTCATGTATTAATTTCGTGTAATTAATTCTCAATTAATTAATATTCACATTATTTTAGATTTAATGGATCTTGCTTTACATGAATTTAGAGTTATCATAGATGGATTTATTTCTATTCATATATCTAGAAATTTTAATATGTGTTTAAATTCATATATTAACAATTAATTCTTATGTGCCAAATGTATTATAAAAATGTTGTTCATTTGTAATATTTCATCTTCACAAAAAATTTGAATCATAGAAGTTGAGTTTTGAAACTATAATTTTATTACTTAAATTCCTATCTTAAATTTTCTTTTCTTCAGTTCGTTTGAAACTCATAAATTCCTCTCAATAAATTAATATCAAATATTATTTTTACAGGATTGTAAAGTATTTCAGAATAACGTGCAATACGCGTTCAATTTTACTAGTTATAATAAAAGTACAATGGCTCAAAAAATTATTCTCACTTCATGTAGATTAAATAGATAGATTATTGTAGATATAGATTTATATTTCTTTTTTATTTAAGTAATTCTTACCTTGCTTATTTTTAAGTAACTAATGAAAAAATATTTATTTTGAGAGTCCCTATTTGATGGTAATTATTTGAAAAAAAAAATTATATACTCATTTTCAACCACACGTTCACTAAAAAAATATTTTCACGTAAATCCAAAATTTTTTAACTCTTTAATCACACATTCTTCTAGAAAATCATTATTCAAAATATTATTTTTCTCAAATAATGTCGACGACTTACTTATAACTAAATATTAATAATTAAAGGGTTAAATCCTTCAATAGTCAACCAATTTTATATTTAGTGTTGACACGATCACCTATTTGATTTTGTTTTATCATGATCACTTAATTTTATACTTAATGTCATCATAACCATCAAATTTGATTTTATTTCATTATGACCACCCAATTTTATATAACGTTTCACCATGACCACCACATTTCATATAACATTTCACCATGGCCACCCAATTTCTTTTCAACATTTTCATTAATTTTAAAAGGGATAAAACGATAACTTTATATTTTATATATATAATAAATTAAAAAATAAAAATTAAACTTTTTTTAAATTTTAAAAGAAGTTTTTATTTTATTTTAAATACGTTTTTTTAAATAACTTTTNTTTTAAAAAGGTTTTTTTTAAATAAGTTTTTATTTTTGAAGGAACATTTTTTTTAAAATAAATTTTTATTTTAAAAATTTTTCTAAGTAGCTTTTTTTTTTAAATAAGTTTTTATTTTATTTAAAAAACGTCTTTTAAATAATTTTTTATTTTATTTTATTTTTCTAAGTAACTTTTTTAAATAAGTTTTTTTTAAAGTAACGTTCTTTTTACAAAAGTTTTTACTTTATTTTGTTTTTTAAAATAATTTTTTATTTTAGTTTTTTTAAATTTATTTTATATATATAATGTGAAGTTACCGTTTTACTCATTTTAAAATTTAATAAAAATGGTTAAAAGAAGTTGGATGACCATAGTGAAACGTTATATAAAATTAGATGACCACGATGAAATAAAATCAAATTGGGTGATCACGATGACACTTCAATTATAAAGTTTGGTGGGTATTGGTGAATTTATTAGGCAAACACGGGAGGCAGAAAACCGTGTTGTTGTAACCTGTAACGCCAAAGGTTCGACCGAGTGATTGATACAAGATAGATACACAAACGCTGTCAACCATGGAAGATACATGAGGTTGGCCTCTCACCTTCTAAAAATTTGTATGTTTTATTCTCTTTGGTTCTTTTATACTCTTTTGAGTTTTCATTTTCTCCAGTACATTATCGTAGAGACACACTCTGTAAGGATGAAATGACAAAAATGTTTTTGAGCATATTTCCTGAGGCGGGTTCCCTAAATTCTTCCTTAGAATTAAAAGATTGTGCTTCAAGATTGAGTTTTTCTTGTCCTTTTATCAATTGCTGTTTGCGGATCTGGTGTGTAGAACACAGACGTGTTTAGACGAAGGCTTGCTAATGATAATGTTATTTTTGAATAATTTTTAATTTCGGGGGTTTTATTTCGTGGTTTGTTGTGTATTTATTTAGGAACTTCTTAAGTGAAAACGTTGTTTTTAGCAGAATTTGGCGCTTCCTTGTTAGATAGTTCCATATAGGAGATGCTAGTAGTTTCCATATATTTGCAGTAGTATAACCTTTTCTTTGGATTAATTCTTGGAAAAATAGAAGCAGAATTGATTATTTTAGAATAATTAACTCGAGTTTAAGAAGCGGGAAAATGGCCACTGATTAAAGTATGCTGTTTTGATCTGCTTTTATGTGAAGGCCTTCTTTTGTGAGAATCTTCTTTTCTTGCTTTGTGCTTTTCCTCATCCTTCTTTATTTCCTTTGTTATTAAGCTATGCAGAAAGGTTTTTAAACTAAAGACACTCATTCCGCTGTTCATATGCTTGCCGATGTCACTGATTTAAAATTTAAATCTAAACCCACATGAATAAAAACTTTCGAGGATAAAATTTATGTGCTTGTATTGTTTGAAGGCTTCAGCTTGACCAAAAGGAAAAATGTCATTCCGAAGCATAGCTCGTGATATAAGGGATAGTATTGGAAGCTTGTCGAGGCGTTTCCACCAAGGGAAGTCACGTGGTGCTGTTCACGAGTTGCACAACCAGCCTTCAGTTATGCAGAGCAGTTGTTGGGCTAGTCTTCCTCCAGAGTTACTTCGCGAAGTCATTAAGAGGTTGGAGGAGAGTGGGAGTACATGGCCCTCTCGCAAGGATGTTGTTGTGTGTGCAGCTGTTTGCAGGTCATGGAGGGAGATGTGCAAGGAAATTGTTCAGAGTCCTGAATTCTGTGGAAAGTTGACCTTCCCGGTCTCTCTCAAGCAGGTAAAGTTGTGTTCTCTGAATTCNGGGGGGGGGGGGGGGGGGGGGTGGGGGGGGGGGGGTTTGTTTCGGTCTTTTGCAACAGTTATATAGGAAAATGTAAGTTCACTTGATAGTTATTGAAATGAGAATGGTAAGTTTTTGAGCACTATAACGTTTATTGTCAATTGCAGCCAGGTCCGAGGGATGGAACCATTAAATGCTTCATTAGGAGAAACAAATCTAACTCAACCTACCATCTTTTCCTTTGTCTAAGCCAAGGTAAATTTTTCTTACAAATAATATACTTGATGCCAAATTTAATAAGTGCAGTCGTTTAACTGGCAGCTTGTTGTTCTTCGGGAATTTATGCAAGAAATGTTTTTCTCTGGACACTTTAAAGAAATCTCATTTTGGTTGTAGTGGGATGATCATGAATAGAATTGGCTGCTGTAATGAATTTCATTTCTTAATGCTTCAGCATAAACTGTAATAGCTAAAATTTGTTCTTTTTTTATTATATTCATGTAATATCTGATAAACTAGTCTCTTCAGTTTTCTGTGACAATGAAATTAGTAAAGGCAGCTATAGAAGTTAGTACTGTTATTTTTAAAGCTTTCTGCATGGCCTATTTTTGACTCTTGTTTGCTGAGTTTCGAAGTTAGCAGCCCCTATGGCTGTATGACTAACTGATTATATAAATTAGCGAGATACAATTACTCGTTTTATGTCTTTGCATTTGTCACTGGATATGGGTGTATTGTAATCTATAATCATGAGTGCTAAAACGAAATCCTCGATGTGTGATTTCATCACTTAGAGAATGTTTCCTTCTAGCTTGAAATCAAATATACACTAATTGCAATTGTAAACAAATTTCTAGAATTTTGGGGAAAGTATTTTTTATTAATTCTGTGCCTAGCATACAACTTGAAGTGGAATGATAAATTCTTCATGCCATTGTGCACTTATCAAAAGAAAAAATGTAAATGAACCGGAGCTGCCTCAAGAGTTGACACATAAACCACATTTTTTGTGTCTGGCCTTTGCAAAGCAGAAGCACCCTTTTCTTAATACTAGTGCATGTAAATATACTAGACTATGAAAGTTTATAATTCTTGAATTATGATACAACAACATATTAAGCCTTGCTCCCTACAAATTTGAGGTTGGCAACATGAATTACTTTTCTTCATTTCATTTAGTTCAGAACTACCAAAAGATATAAACAATTAGATCTTTAGCACAACGAACCATATAGTTTTGATCCATAATGCCCTCTTCTCTCTTGCTCTATTGAGATTGTGTCATCCAAAGAGTTCTACACAAAACATTCCTCAACCACCTAAGTCATCATTTCCTTAATGTATGCTCTATGGATGCCACCTCCACTTCTTAGCTTATATTGTTAAAATATTTTAATATTAGATAATTCGTCACAAAATCAAGTTGCTGGAAAAAACTTTTAGCTGTTTTTTGATGCTTGTCAAAGACTCAAAGTTGATCTTGTTTGCAATACTTCATCAGTTTCGTTGATTTACTAGTTGCTACTTTCTTTGCAGCGTTGTTTTCCGAGAATGGTAAATTTCTTCTTTCTGCGAAAAGGATTCGGAGAACCACTTGTACGGAGTATGTGATATCAATGAATGCTGATAATATATCGAGGTCACGAAGCAGTTATGTTGGAAAGTTGAGGTGAGGCTACTTTCTATGCGAACCACTCAAATTAGACCTTGTTTGCATTACATTATCGGAAAAAAAAAAAATTATGTTTTAAATTATTTTTTCCGAGAACTTTTTCTCAGAACATAGGACCCTAGTGGGTTTCTTTACCTGGTTCATAGTTTTTAATGTAGTCCTTTTAGGCATGTTCGGTAAAGTGGATTGGACAAGGTTGGAAAAAAAGAAGTTAAAATCTTGTCCACTATCAAGTCGAATTATGTCCAATATGATGGACTTACCAAACATGTCATTTGTGTTTATGAAAATGTTATTTACTTGTTTATTATGTTTTAGGAAACAAAAAAGTAAGTATCTTCTCTACTTCTTGTTCATCCAGGTCCAATTTCCTTGGAACAAAGTTCATTATTTATGACATACGGCCACCATACAACTACTCTAACAATTCCCCACCCCAGAGAACTAGCCGTCGGTACTACTCAAAAAAAGTTTCTCCGAAAGTCCCTACTGGAAGCTACAACATTGCTCAGGTCACATATAAGCTCAATGTGCTGGGAACTAGGGGCCCACGTAGGATGCATTGCCTCATGCATTCTATTCCTGCATCTTCCCTTGAGCCCGGTTGTACTGTCCCTGGGCAACCCGAGCTTCCTTCCTGCTTTGAAGATTCGTTCAGGAGTATTTCCTTCTCTAAAACAATTGACAACTCAACGGAGTTCGACAGTGCCCGATTTGCGGAGATCAAAAATTTACGGGATCATGAGGAGGAAGGAAAGGATAGACCTTTAATTCTTAAAAACAAGTCCCCGAGGTGGCATGAACAGTTGCAATGTTGGTGTCTTAATTTCCGGGGGAGGGTAACCATAGCCTCTGTCAAGAACTTCCAACTTGTTGCCGATGCACAGCCAACTGCTGGTGCACCTATACCATCCCAAGCTTCCCCAACTGATCACGATGAGATTATCTTGCAGTTTGGTAAGATTGGCAAGGATATGTTCACAATGGATTATCAATACCCTTTATCTGCGTTTCAGGCTTTTGCCATGTGTTTAAGCAGCTTCGACTCAAAATTGGCTTGCGAATAGATGGAAAAAAAGAGACTTGGATGTTGTTTACTTTTAGTTTACTAAAGATGATTTTGGCTGTATTCTGTTGTAATGCAATCGTGGTATGTTCAAATTTGAACACAACAATCGACAAACTTTGTCACTTCTCTTTTTCTTACTTACATTCAGTTGTCTGCAATATTGTATATCAAACACACCTTCAGTGTACTGCTTAATATGCTGATAGGCATTAATGTAAGACTAGACATTGATTTTTATTTTTAAAGGATAAGCCGCGTCCTTGACGGCATCCACATGCTCTGCCCTTGGCCTTGGTGAAGGAGGTAAATCGAAGGTTATGCCTCCAAGAGTATAGGGTGGAAGACTACTTGTACACTTGCATTTACTCAATGGTCAAATTTACATTTCAGGATTCGAACTCTTGGCGTGGTAACCTAAAGCAAAGTTGGAGTTTTTCCACCTTCCCCGTTTACCACTTGGAGATCTCTCTTGGAGGCACATTGATTTTTATTTTTAATTTATATGTTTGTCCATTTTAGTCATAAACTGTAATTGCTTATAATGTGCTCAAACTTTATTTTTACCTACACATTTCGTAAAAATTACATTTTTTATTTACTTTTTAGTCACATATTTTTGGGATCTACTATTGACAATTAATTATAATTTTGACAAACATACATGAAAAAAAGTGAGATATTGTTCCATATTTCATGAAAGCAATTAAGCTATTTGTACAACCCTTGTTGACAACATTAGTGTTGTCAAAATTCCCGGCAGTTTATTTAAAAAATAGTTTTAATAATTTTTAAAATGAATAAATGTGATGTTGAGTATGAAGTTGTCAACTAACGTTGTACAGTAACATGATTATCAAGAAAGTGAGATAGTGGATTGTTATAATGGTATTACGGGGTTTAATTTCGTATATCTTACGAGATCTCAAACGCATAAATACATAACATTTTCATCAAATTTCATACATCGAAACTTCAATTTTCTCCACAACTTAGGGCCTGTTCGATAGGGCTTTCAAAAAGTTAAAAGTTGCATCTGAGACTCAGAAGTTGCTTTTCGTCACATTTTGAATTTTTTTTTATCTAGTTAGAAATTTTTTTTAAAAAAAATTTTCTATCAAAAATCTATTTTACAAGAAGCAAAAGAAAAAGTCCTACCAAGAAAATGATGTTTTTAGTGAAGCTATGAGTTCATCCTCTAATACAAAAATATTTAAGTTATGTATTATTCCAATTTGAGAGAGAGCTAAGAAAGATAACTATTGCACCAACGATGTAAAATTGCCAACATAGTGGAGGGCTTGAATTTCTTTGTAGAAGCGAGATATCCACACCTCGACTTGTTTATTACATGCTTAATTCTTTTGTAAATTTCTATTTATAACTAATATAACAAAATTGAAAGAAAATCCAGAATTTAATATTAAGCAGAAGATGCAACACTCAAACCACCTAAAACTCGCACTTTTTGAAAGAAATTTGCCAATACTGAGCCATGGCATCAGGGAGTGGCAGCATGGGAATGACAGATATTGAGGAGCGAGCACTCTTAGGCATCTTTAACTCAAGTGCCCAACTATATAAACACAACCTACCATCAAGGAAGTGTTATCAAATCGGAACTGACAATCCGACCTCCGAAAAACTCGGTACTTGACAAGATAAATTGCGTCAGACTTGGCAGTTGACGCGATTGGCTTGGCCTGGCTAACACCATTACACTGAGGCTCAATTGCATGAGATTCAAATGCACTTTTCTTTCTCCCTCTTTCTGAGGTTTTAAGATAATCTATCATACTCATGACATATCTATTTGCAGTGTTAAAAAACAATAGGAAACAAGAACCAATATATACATGAAAGAAGAATTGTTAGCCTGTCATGTGATTGATGGCAAATATATAAACTCTGCTCTAAATTGATTAAGCAGACAGTCACTTTTCCACTATGACTAAAGATTCCAGCTTTTCTCTGTGTGGTAATGCAAATTGGTCAATTTCATATATTAATTAAAGCTGACTGATTATGGTAATCTACTTTTAAGCCAGATTAAGATTTGTATTAAGAATATATAAAAATAAATCCCTCCTTTTTATAATTCTTTAGAAGTTATGTCTAGCTTTAATTGTCACTTTATTGGAATTTGTTCTCCTGCATTAATAAGCTAATAAAGACATTCCAAGATAGATTTCTAAGATAGACTCGAAAGTAGAATTAGAGCTGGTATCACTGGCTTTTGAAAAGAGGAAAAAAAAAAAAAAAATACTGCTTCCGATTATATTTAAATAATTTTGTGAAAGTTTTTTTCTGTTCAGAAAGAGCTTTGAGTGAAAACTGATCTAAAATAGATTCTTAAGAAAATTTTCAATAAGAGTAAAAGTAAAACGTCTTAAATGTATGTGAACGTTTAAATAAAAAAAACGAGGACTTAAGTATTAAAGATAAAATTGTTTCGATGGGTTGGTTCCTTTTTTTCAAGAAAAACGAATTTTAGGAATTGCAAATATTTGGAAATTTGAAATCTCGAGAAAGGGAAAATAATTCTCAAGAATGAAAATTTTCAAGAATGTGTGAAGCTTAAGTCACCTTTATGTCACACCATGAAGAAGCTTCAAGACAAAATTACTTTTTTACTTGGATAAATACAAAGAAGTAAAAAAAGAAAGTGAATTTGGAAATGTTTTATCATGTCTCCTTTGTCTTACATCGGCCAGCAACATAATTAGGCATGGAAGAATTTATTAATGATTTAATTTATAAATAAATTAGAGTAATGCTATTCATTATCACTGAAAATGAAAATACAGTCTACATGACGTTAATGTGACATTAAATGGTAAGTGAAATTAAATAAGTCATTTAATTTCACCTTACATTTAACCTATCATTTAAAGTCACCTAAACTGTATTTTCATTCCCAACTGGGGATGAATAACATTACTCAATAGATTATGAGTGGTCGATAAATAAATAACATTGATAGGACCATCAAAAGGTGTGATTAAAATGAAGTTTAAAACCAATTTATAAATTTACAAGACATGTGTTAACTTGTTCAATTCAATAATATTGTCATAATTTCGAATTTAACAAAATAAAATTACGAAAGTTGTTATGTCTTGGACTTTTAAATTAGTAGTGAAGAAATAGTTGAAAATTCGTCTAACTGCTCGTCACAGTCAGACTGAGAGTAGGTGTATTAATGGACCAAAACGAGCCAACTTCCTCGTTGACCCTCTGGCTCGACCCAACACACTAGCTAGCTCGTGCTTACTTTGGACGAGTCGAACACAAGCTAGCTCATTTAAAATTTTTGTCATTTGACTTGTCCCACCAACTCGTCTAATCACATTATTTTTATATTTTTATTTTTAAATTCAATTAAAAATTTTATGTTTCACCTCGTGAAGCAGCCCTGTGCAAGTCAACGAGCTAGTCAGCGACTAAAACGAGAAAATGTCAGCTGACTAAGATCCACCATTGCAACTTCAAAAGGAGTCGAGCGAGCTTGGCCTGACATCCCTAGGACCAGGAGTGTCAAATAGGACCGAACCGCTTGTGGCCTGGGTGGTCATGCAGCCGGCCTAGCCGGGTCGACCCCGGTTGTGCCATTGACAACCTTAATCGGATGTTCAACATAACGCAAAGGCCCAAACCTGGCCCGTATATAGTGGAAATCACACGCGCATAACCTACGTATGTATACGTGTACTTGCCATCCATAATAACTAGCCGCCGCTCACTGCCACCACCACGGTACCACCACCACCTCCTCCTCCTCCTCCTCCGTTTTCTCCTGCATCCACAATATTTTTCACGAGCATAAATTTGTTCACGGTGAATTCAAAAGGCCTCTAATGAATCGACATCAGTGCTTGAGCTGCCCAAGATTCGTCAAAAGCTATAAGATCTTAGGGCTATATCAGAAAATTTGGTATTATATCTAAAAAGTTCTATGTAGTATGTGTTCAAATATTCTAATTCTATAAATATTCTTACATGATTTTTCTGAAGATTGCAACGTATTTCTGTAATTGTGTATGTACGAATAAAGTTATGATTTGTTAAATCAAAATGTAGATTTGTCGGAAATAGTAAAAATACATTAATCTTTTCTAAAAACCCCATTATACTTTGTGAGTTTGATTTTACCTTCTTCAGTGCTCTTCTGGACTTATTATCAGAAACTCTTTGCGTTATACAATCACTCGCCGTTTCAATTTAAGTGTACATGCTTTTGTGTACTAATTAGATTTACCCAATGATGGAAAATTCACTATATTGAGCAGTTTTATTTGGTTGCCATTTGACGCCGGCCTTTTGTGCACCATCAGTCCAGGATCTCAAGTAAATTTTGTCATAGTTTTGCAATTATGAACGTCCAATTTAAGAATTGGTCTGGTATTATTTATCAGCCTTTTTTCTATCTATCTGTTTATCTATCTATGAATAGTGATGCTGAAAGTGCTTGAGGAATGTTAGTGACTTTAAGCTGCTCGTGGATAAACCGAGGACTTAAATCAGAATTCTTCCCAATTCTAGCCAACGTATGTTCTGGAAACTTTGACATTGGTTGTAATTCTTGTATGAGGTTGAGATGCATTTGTCGATTGTGAGAAATGGTATTTTCCCATCTGCATCTGGCCCTTTTTTCTCCAAGATCAGTTCTCGTGTGTTTATTTATTTTAGTTTGTTGTCTGATTTAAGGTGCTTTCAAATGGTTTGAAATGTTGTTTATACCTATCATTTGTGTTTCTTGTGAACCTAGCTTGTGGAACTTTCAACAAATTATGTTTCTTAATAGCATGTCTAAATGCCCTATGATGGAAGATGCATTGGTTAGTTTTGTGCCTTTGGTTTTCATTGTAAGCCTCCCTCATCATCAAGGCAGTCTTCGCCTCTGCCCTCGTTCTTCTTCTTCTTCTTCTGCTCGTCGTTGTATTGTTATTATTATTATTATTATTGTGACCATCATCCAGCGCTGAGGGATTGGCTTTGATG